TTTCAATAAATACGGATGAATGCAGCATTTCCTAAGCTCCATCATTGCATTGATCAAATTAGGAACATTCTTCTTAGCTGAATCAACTAGAAACTCAAAGTTTTTCTCCAGTATTGCCCTGTAATATCTTTTCTGTGCTATCGTCAATTCTACCTCAATAATGGTCTCTTCTTTCTGTGGAATCGTAGTCTCAACATCCTCCTTCATTCTACGTAACATTAATGGTTTCAATAATTCTTGTAACTTCTCTACATCTTTGATGTCATTCAACTTGTATTCCTCTAAGAAATCACTTAATGAACTGAATTTGCTACTGTCCATGAAGTTGAATAACGCCCATAATTCACTCAGGTTATTCTGAATTGGTGTTCCAGTCAATAACACCTTATGATTGATTTTGAGACTGTTCAAACTTCTTGCTGCCTTTGATTTTGGATTCTTAAGTCTGTGTGCTTCATCCACTATTCCTACTGAATATTCAAACTGACTCAAATGATCCATTCCACTCATTGCCATCTCATAAGTCGTCAATATCACATCAAATAGTCTCACATTGATATTTCCTGTCTTGTTGGTAAATTCATATTCAGCCAACATCTCTCTTCCTGCTACTGTACCATGATACATCAATACCCTCAAATCAGTCCATGCCTTGAATTCTCTTTCCCAATGCACCAAAGTACTCAATGGTGCTATCACAATCACAGGGTGGTTGTATTGGAATTCAGTAGATAAACAATCTACAAAACATACTGATTGAACAGTCTTTCCCAATCCCATTTCATCAGCCATAATGCAACTTGTCTTCCAATACCAACGATTAATCAACCAATTCACACCTTCCAATTGATACGTTCTCAATCTATTCCCATTCTTGTAGACTGGTGATTCAGTGTATTTGGCCTGCTTACTTTNAGTAGATAAACAATCTACAAAACATACTGATTGAACAGTCTTTCCTAGTCCCATTTCATCAGCCATAATACAACTTGTCTTCCAATACCAACGATTAATCAACCAATTCACACCTTCCAATTGATACGTTCTCAATCTATTCCCATTCTTGTAGACTGGTGATTCAGTGTATTTGGCCTGCTTACTTTTGTCAGGTCTCCAATCAATAGGATACTTTGAGTGTCTCATTTTCTTTCTTTCCCTGTACTTCTGTAATTCATTTGTGTAATTCATACACTCTTTCACATCTTCAACCAATTCAATTGTACTCTGTTCTATTGGTAAAGCACACCATTTTATGAGAACTGTCTCTTTTCTCTCATCATCTTCTCCTTCTGCTAATACCTTTTCAACACTCGTGTATTCTTTTGGAATTATTTCAGGTTGCCTGTATTTCTTCACTTTTATTATTCCTGCTTTAGTTTGCATAATCTCATTTTCATCTACCCAATCACAGTGTAAGAAACTTCTGTTTCTGAATTTGACCAGAAATTGTCCATCTTTTCTATCGAGTAATTTCTCATAGACATCTTCCAATTCAGCCGTATTGGACTCATACGTTAAATTAGTCGTTGATGTTTCAGTTGAATCACTTCTTGCTGTCTTTTTCTTCTTCTTTGTTGTTGGAACTGCTTTGATTGCAGCAGATCTCTTTGTTCTTGGTTGAAGAATGTATTCTTCCGATTGTACTACAGTTGACTGTTTTCTGCTTCTAACTGTTGTTGGTACA